CCTTGGAGGAAGCACTGTGAGCTCCTTGGTAGTTGGGGCATTTCAACGTAGTTGCATTACAGTCGTCTTCTGAGTGGTGTTCCGCGCATCGGGGGCGCACTGCGGAATTTCTGCAAACGCCCTTCACGTGGCCAATCTTCTGACACTTGAAACACTGCATAGGCTTCGGAATAAACGGGCGAACCTGGTGACGGAAATGGCCAACCTTCACGTAAGAGGGAGGACAGTCACCTTTGAATGTTATCTGCACCCAACAAGAGTTGCCTAGGCGACCAGCATACATAATTACGTTGTTTTCACTCACTGGTTTTATCAGTACAGGAAGATCTTCATTGGCGGAGAGTTCCACATAAAGTCGTATGCTGACCCACAGTGGCGATCGCTGATATTGTAAGCTGCACCCATATAAATAAGCAGGAAAGTACGGCACATCGTTTTCGCGTTACGTAGCTATACTGCCATGGTAACGGGCTCCTCCCGAACGGTAGTGTGCCATTTCACTGCGAGAGCCTGAAGTGTGTGCCACGTGCAGTCGATTTTCGCTAATTACATATTGTTGCTTTGCACTCGCCTACAGTTCAGAGGCATGCGGAAGGGTACCAGCAGGTGGTCGAGCACCACCCGAATGCGCACACCACCAGCCTGTTCTTCAGGAATGAGGGGATATTGGATGTTAGTATTTTGAATTTGCTTGGTGATAGAGTAAGCGACATTGTAGGCAATAAAAATATACAATGCACGAAACTTTTATACATTTCTTTTGCTACAGACATATATCCACTGATTTCTTTTACACTCACCATTTATTTTTTCCGCAAACAATAAACTGGTGGTCCTTACGTGCGGAAAAATAACGTCACTAATATAGGCGTGCCATATCAAGAGAGAGGGAGGAGGACGGGGGAGGGCTCCAGGTAATTCTGAAAACCTTGTTTTGTTTTTTTTACAGCGCACCTAAATTTAAGTTGAAGGGTGCCTTTTCGAGCTTCGCCCGCATTAAGATTGGGCTGCCGTAGTCTGCAAGCGTAATCACATCCTCGGAGTGTCCCGTGACTCGCCCGACATCATGCAGCTTGCGATTTAAATGTTACGATCCAGCGCTAGCTTTCCCACACCCGCCCTTAGTTGAACGACTCTTGGGCAAGTACAGAATGCATTCAATCTTGATGACACCAGATACTGAAGTCAAGAAAGGTATAGGACACTGTGATTGTACTGTGTTAAGTCTTTTGTTGCAATGGGGATATAGATGCTAATGTGGACGAAAAGACAACTACCCGCCGTTTGGATAACACGGCCGACGCTCCCACCAATTTAGTTACCATGATGGTAGTGCTCTCAGCCACTTTATATATAGGGTATTTATGTGCACACAAAAATCGCCGTCATAGCTACGCGCGATGCTAACTGACACTGCCAGCATTACACACACATAAATACCCGATTAAGGGCATCAGAAGACGAACGCCGCCGTATGTCTCTTTGTAGAGCATCGGACACGTTATCTCAATGTTTCAGGTTAGGTCCATGCCACTGGCAAGTTGTCTTTTCACGCTCTTTACTTTCCTTACATATATATCCCACTAACTGCAATGCCCTTAAAACAGCATAATTAATGTCCCCTATTCACTTATTAGCCTCATTATTAGCTGCTTTTTCGTTGAGGTTGATTAAAACAGAGAAACGACCCCTCATAGTCCACCTTATCTTTCAGACAGCATTCAGGGCATTTAATCGCATGAGCTCCGATTACATCGGTATGGCAGTACTCACCGAACTGACCGATCCAGACGTTAAGTTAGGAAACTATTGTCGTGCCCTATTCGCGTTTCCTTTTCGGTGGCACAGACTTTCACCGCCCTGTTAAGTGATAGTTTCCAGTAAGTTAACCTGTATTGACAAAGCTTGCTCGGTCCCTCCTTTCCTTCTCGACACTGCGGCACAACTAACGACAGCGTTCGATGCCGGTGCGCTCTTTGTGTTCCTGTCAGACGTGTGCTATAATCTGTTGCGTGACAGCCGCAGCAGCAGCAATGAGTTGTAAGTTTTGTCCCACTTCCCTTTTCCACTGTCCACGCCCCTTAGATACGATAAACTGTCTTTTCTTTTTTTTATTATTTTCTGCCTTGCGTTGAGTAAGCGCTATCTTTTTCACGATATTTTCTTCTCGCTGACCTCGATAATGTTTGCAGACCGATATTGATCGTACACTAGGTGACGGTTTCTCGTCCATGTTTATTTGTTGTTTTGACAAAGAAGGAAGGAAACAAGCTAGTAGAAGTACAAGCACTGTGGCAGGCCCAATTGTATTTGTATTTTATTCTTTTTATTCAAGATAAAAAGAGAGAGGAATGATAGGCTTTCCTGTAAGTTTACTTTATTTGATTGATATGTGGGGTTTAACGTCCCAAAACCACCATACGATTGTGAGAGACGCTGTAGTGGAGGGCTCCGGAAATTTAGACCACCTGGGGTTCTTTAACGTGTACCCAAATTTGAGCACACATACCCCGCCGTGGTGGTCTAGTGGCTAAGGTACTCGGCTGCTGACCCGCAGGTCACGGGATCGAATCCCGGCTGCGGCGGCTGCATTTCCGATGGAGGCAGAAATGTTGTAGGTCCGTGTGCTCAGATTTGCACGTTAAAGAACCCCAGGTGGTCGAAATTTCCGGAGCCCTCCAGTACGGCGTCTCTCATAATCATAGCGTGGTTTTGGGACGTTGAACCCCACAAATCAATCAATCAAATCTGAGCACACAGGCCTACAACATTTCCGCTTCCATCGGAAATGCAGCCGCCGCAGCCGGGATTTGATCCCGTGACCTGCGGGTCAGCAGCCGAGTACCTTGGCCACTAGACCACCGCGGCGGGGTGTAAGTTTACTTTATAAGCTTGAAAGCTTCGCATGTTTCTTCGTCGCTGTGTAAATAAAACAATAGTCATTGTAAGTTTCAACCATATTCTACTGCATTTGGTGCCAGCCTCAGCTTTACGCCCCTTAGCGTGATGTCCCAAGTTCATATCGTGACGGCATCGTCCGCAATTCTCGTGCAGGCGAAAGAAAATCGCTCGTGCACTGTTCACTGAGTGCCCATCAGTGATCATATGGTTGCTGTCAAATATAACCCTAAGCCTATCGATCCTGTTTTGCGTTCCGACGTCAGAAATAAAGGAAAAACGATACAGTATTTCTTGTAACAAGACCAGTTAACCCCATCGTGGTCCACCTATTTTTTATATCGCTGTATTTTGATCTATCTCGAAATTAATCGCTGTAACTGGAAACACATGGCTAGCAGATTGAATCATTTTGCACCGATGGAGTGAACTTCTGTTGTGGGTGGGTATAGAAGCCGCCCTTACGTATTCGTCACCGTATGCGCCTTGCAGTGCCATTAATGAAGCCGCCATACCGGAGCGCCAGCACGTTAGAAAGCTGCGCTCGTGACGTCACGTGAATGCGCGATATGCCTTTCTAGTTACAACCGCACAAAGTTCAACTTTGCGCAATCATAATTTTTACGCGTTAGTGTCACAGTAGACGTCAAATCGCAATCCCAGTACGTTGAGAGACTGCGTACGTGTCGTCACGTGATAGTTAACGATACTTATTTAATATGCAAGGCCACCGTCTTCTTGTTATTGTCATACGAATGTACTATTCACGATAAAACGTGTAAGTTAACACCTGGTTTTAATTTTAGTTGATATGGAATGATAAAAAGTCACTCGAGCAAAGGGGGCTACACGGTATGTGAGGATTTGTGGTAATAGTGGCTGGGATTTCACATCTCGAAAGCGCGACATTTTTGGAGAATTTTAGAATAGCATAACGCAAAGCTTTGCGTTGCGCATGCGTCATTCACTGTAGCTTCTTGCGGGCTCCCGTTAAGTAACGCCTGCAATCTTAGCGCTACGGTATTCTAAATAATTCTATTTTTAGGGGTGCCGTCGCTGAAGGGCTTTATAAATGTCAACCACCAGGTTCTATTTAACGTGGCCCGAAATCGCAGCATACCACCTTCTGGCATTTTGCCTTCATCGAAACGTGGCAGCCCCGTTCAGGATTTCGTGTTTTCTAATGGTTCTGCGCGGTTCCAGAAGCATTTTGTTTTTTCCTAAAAGGCAGTCACACTCGCTGTCAGTCACAGCTCTCGGGAATCTGAGTCTATGGCGTGGAGTTCAGTAAGGTTGAATTACTTCGTCCGCAGGACTTCAGCGCAAAAATCTGCTCCCAGGTGAAACGAGGACGGAACTGCTACAGTGCCAGAATACAATCAATATAAAACAGCGAAGCTAAACGATAAGACTACTAAAAATATCGAAGCTACCTTTCATTTTTTACTGAACCGCTTAAAACCTTGCTGCGATTCCGTCGTTCTTTCTGAATTTCAAATAGCGATGCCCGAAGCGTGTAGTCACCGACCACATCGGGATTTACCTCTCTATTCTGAAATATTATCGTGTCCGACACTCTAGTCTAGAGAAACACTATCACACAAACAACCAAACGAGCGGACCACTATAAAGACGATTCTGTCCCCTTATATATATATATATTATATATATATATATATATATATATATATATATATATATATATATATATATATATATACACTTTTCAACCTTGTCGCGAACGAAGCCAAGAGTAGAAAAAAAATCGCCTAGTCAAACGATGCACTCACCGTTGATGCTCCGCGAACGAGAAAAATCAATTCTCGGTCGTTCCCGATGTTTCCTTTCTACTCTGCGCACACTGTTTTTTCGGCCCTTCCTGGAAAAGCAGCGATCGGTATTGCTTTCGGAAACAAGCCAGCGTCATCCACCCCCTTCTTTGCACGGATAGAAGCATCAAGATCGGAAGAAACAGCAGCGCCACTGGACTATACGATTGTGCTGCTCGCGTTTGCCGGTGGCGCAGCGGTAGTAGCGAGACGCGCCGCCGTTGACTTTCGCACCGCCCCCTTCCTCTGCTTAGCGCGATTGAGACTGCGAAGACACGGTTGGTCTATACGCTGCAACCATCATAGCTGGCGTAGCCAGCTGCTGGTGTCTGTGCGCGCGGATCGGATGTCGTGCCTCTGATCGCGGTACGGTTCATAGCCGTGCAACAGCTCACAAGAGCATTATAGTTATGCTTCGCCACACGAGCCGGTAGAGAAGACGCCCGTCCGGACAGCATTTCTTTCCGTCCCAGGGAGAAAAAGCCTAAAAAGCGAGGCTTAATAATAACGTGAGTTGAGCACTTTATCTTTTGTTTGTTTTTCTCTGGCTTGACAGGGAGGGGGGCGTGCACCTTGCTTCGTGTTCCTAGTAAGAGAAGACGCAAACGCCAACTTTAGCGGTGCTCCGAGAAACCGAGCCTCACTTTAAGACGGCAGGAATAAATCTGATTTCGCGTACGGAACATAAACAAAGGAAATTTATGACTTGTAGTTTTCCCAACTGGCACCGGCAAATTTACCGATGGAAAGTGTTGTCGACGGGGCGAGTGCCTTTTACGAACAAAATATAATTCAAAGCTAACGCTTCATTCTCGCCAACGGACAAACGCAATACTAACTTCCAACCTGACAGCTTCAACATTCTATCGGTGTCAATGCAACCCCTTACGCATGAGCATAAGTGGTGCTTTTACTTCCGCTATATGAATTGTCATAATATTTTTTTATAGTCCAGTTTTTATCGAAGGCATATACTATTTCTACACTATCGAACCAATATATTTCCGGTGTCATTGTAAGTTTAGGCTTTGAATTGATCAAGTGAGAAAATTAACGAGAGGACACTTTGTCTTCCTTTTTGTTTCGTCCTCGCTTGCGCAATATATGCGTTTAGTTAACATCCGTCCATTATTTATTTTAGCAACATGATAACCTGGTGCATTGTGTTTTTTCTTCTCTTTTAAAGTTTTGTTGTCGTTGCCTCAATTTTTTCGTTGCATTTGAAATGTTTGCCCTTTACTAGCACGCTTGATAGTTTTCCCCTTTGTAATGGGCAGTGTACTTTTACTGCAAACCTACTACGAAAGGACCATATATAGATACGTTCCGCAGGGCTGTTTCGTTATAAGTTTATCAATATGACACAACAGTTAAGAGTCGGACTTATTTTCACGTAAGCCTCACGCATAAAAAATGAAGTAAATATTGCGGCAGCAATTACGCATTCTGTCATTTTTATTTGTATTTTATCGTCTTCTTTGCTTTAAAGTTCAAACAAGCCCTACTCCAACCACCCACCTGTCCTCCTCCTCCTGTGTACTACTTTCTGCAGCATAATGTAACGTATTCTTGGCACGATCATCGTCATACCGCAGTCATAATTTTCAGTGTATTGTCATTATTGAAAAAGAGGGGAGGGTGGGTGGAGCCGGGTTCTTAACAACTCTCGAAGCAACTTCACAGCCACAGGACTTGTAAGTGCTTGCTAAGGTTGATCTCACCTAGTGAATCTACGCGCACACGCACACACGTGCGCACACGCGCGCACGCACACGCGCGCACACACACACACAAACACGCACACACACTCACAAACACACGCACACACACACACAAAAAGCTTACTGTTCGAGTGCTAACGTCTTTCAAAAGCTTGAGCTGATCACTGTTCAAACAATACATAACTTCTGAATGCAGTTACGCTCACTGAGTATGAATGGGGGAAAAGACACAAATTAACTATTGCTTTTCCAGTTTCCTAAACATGCACCTGAATGAGAAGTGATAGATGCTACGAGCAGTGCTGTTTTGTTTTGAATCGGTCCATGCAAACACGATTCAGTCTAACGCGTTACATCCGTATTGCCCAAGCGAATCCCATCTAGGTTTGTGTGGTGGCTTCTCGTGAAATTGAAAAAGCATCCTCGCTTTTCTTCTATTGAAAATTTCCCAAGAACATTTTTTTCTTCATTACGTTAATTGAAACGAATGTCACCGCTGTTTCAGTGGCACGTACAGCGAATGTTTCGTTTTTCTGCATTAGGCTACATTACTGCCAACTTTCCAAGTCATAACGAAACCCCTCTTCACTACTGAAATATTAGTATAACCTAGCACAAATACAAGGCTTCAGTCCTTAATAAAAGCCCTAAAGTGACCTCTCTTACCTTGATATATATATATATATATATATATATATATATATATATATATATATATATATATATATATATATATATATATATATGTTTGTGCGTGTGTGTCGTGACTACGCTTATATGAAAAGCGTGTGTGCACTGCAGAAGGCATGATGACGCACTTGTTTGGACACAACTTTTCGAAACGCTGGATTCGACGCACAGAAATCTTGTTAATTTAATATCAGCACGTTAGCCTCTTAAAGAACAAACAAGGAGCTAAGGCATTAAATTTAATTATTCAGAGTAGTTCAAAACAGTTGCATGCAAAATATAAACACGAGAGGCTTAAGTCGACGTCGAAGTTGGCTTCGTTCCGGCTAAAAGTTGCGATCAGCAACTTTTCCCAGGAAGAGCAGCCATAGAAGGAAGTACAAGGTAATGTCCTTTTAATGAGATAACTTTGCGCGGTCCCGCCATTCCATCATGAACGGCGCCACCATAAAATTCGACGCAAACTCTGCAAGTGGGCAGCCTGCCGGCTGCAGCTAAATAGTCCCGACGCCGCGTCCTGGGCTGTGCGGCACTTGCACGGAGGTTAACGCGTCGCGAAAGACCCCCTTTCGACGACACTTTAATGATATAAACGCCGCATCAATTCAAACTATTCGGAAATAGTTTTAGCGAGGCTCCAATAGTCGTTCGAGACGCGCGCGCCAGCCCGCGCAAGTTTGCGATTTAATTTCGCGATTCTGCGACGCCCGTAGTCCAGTTGGGCACATCTATGCCCAGCTGTTTAGAGAAGGTTTTCGGATAATTGCGACAGCATCGCTCCCAACGGCAATAGAGGCGCTCGGAGCTGTTTCGAAACCAGGAAGGAGGAAATTTCTCCGTCTTCTTCGCGGCTTTTGTTTTCGGCATTTTTTCACTGCACTTATGTCCCAGCGGCGAAGAAAGGATTGCTTTCTCGTCCTTTGCTCATTTTTCTCCCGGAAAACTGATATTGCTCTCTCGCCAACGGCGGTGGTGACGGATATTGGCAGTGTCGCATTCTCCTTTTCCGGAGCTGCCGTTGCTCGTATGGTTTTCACGATATTTTATCTGTCGCTGTGTAAGCTTTGTTGATCTGTGCGACTGTCCTGTAGTGCGGATAGTCTCAATAATGAGTAACGTTTGGTCTTACTGAACTAGTAGTGTTACATCTTTTGGGCTTGCCTTTTAATGAATTTGAGACATCGAATTGAAAGCTATTGTCCGAATCTACGCGACGCGAAACTTTTGTCTAGTGGTTGATTTTAAAAGCTATAAACCCTTTCATCTTTGATTGATGTGTTGGGTTTAACGTCCCAAAACCACCATATGATCATGAGAGGCACCGTAGTGGCGGGCTCTGGAAATTTCAACTACCTGGGGTTCTTTAACGTGCACCCAAATCTGAGCACACGGGCCTACATCATTTCCGCCTCCATCGGAAATGCAGCCGCCGCAGCCGGGATTCAAACCCGCGACCTGCAGGTCAGCAGCCCTTTCATCTTTAACCTGTTCAACAGTGCAGTAGTGTGTGCCAGCCCGGTAACTAAGCAGGATGCGCAAAGCCACCAAACGCAACAACCCACGCGAGTTTTAGGTGTCTGCGCAGAAACCCGATTCCTGGGATTAGCACAGCTCGTTTATTGCACAGTCCTCGGGGCGGCCCTTCAGGACACACAGAGAGGACCAAGTCCCGGATGTGCGCCAAGTCCCGGATATATACGTCGTAGAACAATCTCTATTTAAAATGCTACGACACTGGAGGCTCTGTATTTGTTGAACGAAGATAACTCTTCGGCTTGTTGTTTCAGGGCGTAATTTCATGGACTACAGGCAGCAACTACCAGATATTTTAGGGGTAGCATAAGTGGGGCTGTGCATGCATGGATAAGTGTGTTGCTTGTCAGCCACAATATATGTTAGCTATACAAGACGGGCGTTAGTCAATCTTAACAAAGTGCGAGAGGGTTCACCGAAAAATGGTCGGGTCGATTGAACTCCTTGTCGCTTTAGCGCTTGGTACGAGGCCTTGAGTCGACTCGCTGTCGAGGAATATATCTTCGCAGAACATGCTTGGTTCGGTCGATGTTTTCTGCAATACTGTGCGCACGTACTTCGTTGCCACTGGGAGAAATAGGCACAAGAACACTGCCCCTCGTTTCTGGATTCATGAGGTGTATGGCGCACCGAACAAGCAACGCAGACTGTTCTAAAAAGACCATAGTAGTTATTACTGCGCTTTGCTAGAAACAAAGACCTTGATGCCACCCACTGCCTCCCACTGCATTTTTACTTATTTATAACATCACCTGCAGTTTCGTACTTTCAACAACTGAAACGTGTTTGTAGTAAAAACACGTTTACTTACCAATGATATTGGCAGTAATACGGCTTTTCGGTGAGCGGTCAAAGAGAAGTTTTTTTTTTATAACAAAGTGATAATTGACAGCAAGACAAGATTTTGTGTATGTGCATAAGCAAAAATCAAGAAAATTTAGCACATCTCGCGAACCTGGGATCGACGTTATGCGAAGCAGGTGGAGGGAAGGTGACCGTGTTGCAGTTTTTTCATTGAGTGACACGTAACAAAATGACGCTAAATATATGTTCAAATGTTGCACGCACAGGCATATGTTGAAAAATTAGATGTTTATATAACCAGTTGTTTGCACTTGCGCAACGATGTGAACAGGAACATGCGTATTAGCAAAACCAGAACCTGATATAAAGCGTTGATACTCATGAAAATGCTAGCCCTGAACGCTGCTACGTAAATGAACTTCATGTGCATAGCAACTAACCACAATTGACGTTAACCCGACGTGGTGGCTGTATCAAATGTGTAAATATGTAATGTTTATAGAAGTGGGTAGGCAGCAGTGCAACCACTATACGTCTTACGATGATTAGCGCCTTTTTGAGGATTAGTTCCGATACCTGGCGTAGCTCTGTGTTAAAATGCTTCATTACCACGCAGAATTGTTGAATTCGATTCCAGCTGCGACCCTGACATTTATTTTTTGCATTCGTCGGGTCGACGTTACCAATGTGTATTTATCGCTCGCGCATTAGAATTGCCCTTGTGTGTTCAGGTCGTTTCTGGGTAGATACTAAGTATCAAT